GCTGGTTCATGTGATGAAAGATATCCACTAAGTATGCTAGTTTTTGCAACCATTCTCCATCTTCAAAGCACTCAGCAAAATGTGGTATTCAAAAATACTCTTGCAATTCTGCCTTCAGCTCAGACACCTGTGTGTAACAGGAGGCTTATGTGCTCTTCGTCCAGGTTTTCACACAGTTTTTTAAACATTCTTGAGTGAACTGGTCTTTGTTTAATAAAGTTAACCATTTTTGTAACATCATCCAGAACTTTTTTCATTTCATTTCCAAGAATTTTTAACACCAGCACTTCTCTGTGAAGAAAGCAGTGTGCTATGACAACATCAGGATGTTCTTTTCTTACAAGAGAAATGAAACCTTTCATGGAGCCAACCATTGATGAAGCACCATCGGTACAGATGCCAACACAGTTCCTCCAAGACAGATTTTTGTTTCCAGATATGAAGACAAAACATTAAATGCATCTTGGCCTTTGCATGTTTCGTGTAGTTCTTTGCAGCAGAAAAGGTTTTTTTGAATTTCACTACCATTTACAAATCTTACAAATGCCATAACATGACATTTATTAGTGAAATCTCATCAACTTGGATAGAAAAGCTGTTGTTCTTCAGTTTATCACACAAAACCTCTTCAGCATCATGTGATAGGTCATCAATATGCCAACTTGTTGTACAGTTTAATAGTAGAACCTTTTCAATTTCTTGTACTGCATCCGGTCCTAGCATTTTTTCCCACTATTATTTTACATGCTGGCATGATTACTTTCCCACCCAAAGTGTGACTTTTCCTTTGCTGTGTAATAAGTTCCGCTATTAAGTGACTTGCTTCTTGGCCTTTTTTACAGACTGTCATTTTATTAACAAAAGCTTTACTCTGTTCGTTCTGTGATTCCAATAGCCGTTTAAAATAATCAGAACTTTTACTTGTCATATGGCTGTGATTTGTAGTTAAGTATCTTTTTAATTTTGCTGGAGCCATTGCTGCATTTGTAAGTTGTTTGCCACAGGTGAGGTACAACAGATATGGCTGTGATTTGTAGTTAAGTATCTTTTTAATTTTGCTGGAGCCATTGCTGCATTTGTAAGTTGTTTGCCACAGGTGAGGTACAACAGAATAGGACAATTTGGATCACTAGTCCATGTAAAACCCAATACCAAAACATTGATAAATAGCTTTCATTGTAAAAATGGACTTTTTTTGAGTCCGTTGATGTACCAGTGCAGGGAAATGCCTGAGAAGATTTAAATTCTTCATTATCGTTATCATTAAACTTATTGGCATTGTCTGTTCTAGAATCTTCCTCTTCTCTGTCACACCTCCTCTTCAAAAATCACCACAATGGACCCTCAGACGTGACTGAATAAACATGTACAAAATTTATTTAAATAAAATAACTACAGGAAAACCGCAAGGAGAACATGCAGGAGGGAGAGACTGATGTCACAGACTAAGTTGGACAAGTCCATTAATTTCTTGAAAAATGCATTTCTCCCTCCCCTTCCTTCAATATATTCCTCCCTTCCTGCAATATATTCCTCCCTTCCTGTAATATATTCCTCCCTTCCTTCAATATATTCTTCCCTTCCTGTGATATATTCCTCCTTTCCTGCAATATAGCGTTTACCAGTTATCAACAGTCTCCCCTATCTTGCTTCAAAAATTAAGAATGGATTCAATCAAATAAACGCAATCCTACAGCATACTACCAGGGAGCTGAGAAAGAGTTGTAACTGGATTTTTGTTCAGTCTCTGCCCATCACTGCGAGAGCACATTGCCCAAATTTGAAATAATTTTTAAAATAAATCATGATCTCCCAGGGAACTCCTAGTGACCTCTCACAGAACCCTAGGGTTCCATGGGATCCTGGTTGAGAAACCCTGCTCTAACCAAAAGTAATATATTCCTCTAAAATAAGGTTGGCTAGTTTGTGGTTCAATGTGTGGTGTGAATGCAGCCTGAGAGGAGGGGGAATGGCATGGAGTATCCTAGAAAAGGTCTTGGCTTTATGACTGGACTGAACAGCAACACTCTGCACACAACATTTTGTAGCAGGTTGTCACCCTTGTTCACTAATTGAAAATTATCTTGACCTCCCTCCTGTTGTAATTAGTTTAATGTGAAATATTTGCGTTTGTCTGGATTTCATCTAGAAATATTTTTATAATACTTTGGCTCTGTTGTTGGATGGATGGCTGTGCTTGTTGGACCCCCTGGGCCATGGACATTTTCATCATTGGTCTTGGATGGGGTAGCACTTCCCCATTCAAGACTGGTGCATAATTTGGGATTCCCTCTTGACTCACAGCTACTGCTCAAATGGCAGCAGTGACCAAGAGGGCCTTTTGCACAGGTTCATCTTGTATACCAGTTGCACCCTTTCCTCAACCAGGAAGCCCTTCAGTGCTCTAACCAGGAGGCAAGCAGTGACAAGCACTTTTTGTTATGCTCATATGTCACTGCTGCTGTGCGAGCTGCATTGGTTGCCAATAGGTTTCTGGGCGCAATTGAAGGTGCTGGCCCTGATTTATAAAGCCCTGCATGGCACAGGGCCTGGCTGTCTGATTGTTTCTGCCCACCTGGTATGTTCGGGCAGAGTGGGATTGCTACAGTTTCCCTCAATTAAATGTTTTCATCTTGTGGCACTAAGGAAGCCTGCCTTCTCTGTCACTACGCCCACCCTGTGGAACAGCATCCCCCAGAGATATGGATGGCACCCACTCTTCTGAGCTTCTGGCACACCCTCAAGACCTGGCTTTTTTCCCAGGCCTGGGCTGAGTGTGTTGGTGGAGGATGTGTTTTATTGTTATTGTTATGACTGTTTTT